AATGGCAGGGGTCATAGTCCAATGGCAGGGGTCATAGTCCAATGGCAAGGGTCATATAGTCCATGTCCAAAGTGGAGGGATAGGGGTTCTACCAACTAGGATTCTTAAGTAGCTAGCCACCACCTACTTGTTCCTGCTTCATGGGCTCCCCCATACATAGACATATACACATAAACCACATACATGTTCTTTACTTTTTAATGGTTGGTGTGGAAGATGGCCATAACAAAGACTATTATGAGGAGGTTAAAAAGGATTGGGCTGGGAGTGTGGCTCAGTCATAGGAAGTCCTTGCTGAACATGCACAAAGTCCTAGGTTCAATCCTCAGAATCACAACAAACAGATTAATGAAGAAATGCTTAAAAGGGGGCTTAGAGCAGAATAAATAAAGTCCCTAAGTCTGATTCTCCTGAAAATGAGTTTTAAGGCAGGGCAGGGAGGCAGTGGAATGCAGTGTTAGCTAATCCTAGTTGTGATCATGCTTATTAGTTTAAAAAGACAGCCGTGTTTTTGTAAGCCTGCTTTTAAAAAATTAGTGACTCACATTTCAGTCCCATTTTGCAACATTAGCTGTGGCTCTGAACTGATTAACTCTTTTGCCGTTTTCTATGTCCATTACTGCTTTGGTCACATTGTAGATCTTAAACACTCGTTCTCAAGAGATGGAGTGAGATTATCCCTATTACACAGACAAGGACCCTGGACCCAGGGACGCTAGGGCATCTGCCCAGGATCACTCACCAGTTCAAGCCTGTGAATTTCAATAGAGAAAGATCCTACTGGGTTTAACTTTGGTTCAGGAGTAAGGGGTTAGGATATGATAAGACACTTCACGTTTGACTCAGAGTGTGTGTTCATGGACTCATATGGTACTCATCTGTGCTCTGAAAATGCCATTAGTCAGGGGATCCTGTCACCCTTAGTGAAGTGTAGGTCCAGTGAATTGTAGGTCCAGTATTAAGCAGAAAAAACTAACTTCATTTGGAGCTAAGAAAAATGTGAATCAGTCGTTTCGGGGGGTCAGCATTAATGCCAAATAAGAAAATGTCAAAGGTTACAGGAGGGCTGATTAAATCTCTCCACATGCTTTCAACAGCGACTTCTACATGTGAAGCCCGAGTCCTGTGCCTCTGTGGTTTATTGCTACAAGAGCAGGTTGAGAACATCAAGTGTTGTCTGTGGGCATCAGCTAGATTCTATCTTGGTAATCTGGAAGGGCACTCACGGAGGGGATCAGGTCCCCTTTGCCTGACTGCTGTGTCCTCAGGCAGGATCTTGTCACCTCTCCCTCCTGGTGACATCCTCGCTCCCCACCTCCACCTGAAGGACCTTCCTTCCACTGTAGGACTCCAGTTTTGCTGCTCTTCCCTGCCCTTCTCCCATCTTTTTCTGGTCCCCATCTCCATCTGCCTACCTTCTGACCAGAGGTGACTTCATGGCTTTTTTGGTTCTCTAGATCCCACATCTCAGCCACTTCCTTAGCATTTGTTCCCCAGCCCTTCGCTTGCTGCAGTGGATGCTCTGTGATTCCAAGTAGGAACAGACTTATTTGGCCCTAAGCTGGGGAAGAGGCAGGAGGAAGCCCAAATACTCTTTCAGTTTGTATCCTGGCTCTGCTGTTAGGCTTCCTGTTGGCCACACGGGTGCAGCAAAGCCTCAGCGGGGCTGTGCTGAGACCAAGAAGGAGCCTGTTGAGGAAGAGGACTCACAGGCCACCTGGCCTGGGAAGAGGTCTCCTTCCCTCCCCATCTGGTGGCACTTGACTTTGTGTATTTATTCCTTGATTATCATGAACATTTAAAAATTTCTCCCTGTTTCCACCTCCCAAGTGCTGGGATTCCAGGTGTACACCCCTACAACCAGACTGTAACTTTTTTTTAAATTTTTGGCTTGTTGGCTTAAGTCAGTTATCCAAACATCCAAAGGTTCAAACTGACGGGGCGTCCATTGTGAGCCTTCTTATCTTTAGCATTAAGGTGTCCATTGAGGGCCTTATCTTTAACATACAGATGCTCTTCCATGTCTGTATTTCTTAGTACAGAGCCTAGCCAGTCATCCCACTGGCTTCCAAGTCCTGTGTGCCTGTGGTGCCTGTTAAACAGTCCTGTGTTTACTGCAGAATGCTTTGCTTTATTTTTGAGTTTTTAATGAATTCCTCTTAGGGTCCCCTCATCCTCCTCAGGAGGTATATAGACGCTCATTTTTCTGGTTATCATCAGTTTCTAATAATTACCTAGTAGATCCATGCATTAGGAATTTAGAAACAGATCTATAGACTCCAATCATTTCTTCTTCAGTTATTAGCAGGGTATTTATATTTAATAACGTTGTGGAGGATTTAATGCATGTGCATGCCTGTGGCTGAGGAAGGAATGGAGGCCAGCCACTGAAATCCATATCTTGTCTATTGTTCTCCTCCTCTTTGTTGAAACAGTGTCGACTCCTACTGAATCGACCCTGCAGACTTGACATTTCTATAGACTGACTGACTGTTCAGGGAGCCCTCAGGATCTGCTTGTCTCTGTTTCCCCATCACTCCCAACTCCAGGGCTGAGCTACCTAGAACATATGCATATGGCCACACCTCTTTTAAAGGAGCACCAGCCGTCCAAACTCTTCATGCTTGCATAGTAGGCCCTATGCCCTTGGGCTTGAACCCATGCGGTGCTGTATGTCTATAATCCCACTAGTAGGAAGCAGGAGACAGATGGGTCCCTGGGCTCACTGACCAGTCAGCCTAGCCTAGTTGATGAGCTTTAGACTAGTGAAAGCTTGTCTTAAAAAGCAAGGTGGGCATCTTCTGAGGATGACACCTCTGCCCTACACACACACACACACACACCATATATAGAATACATATGTAGACCTCAAAATTCTTTGATTTGGATCTATCATTACTTTCTGGGATCATTCATATGTTTGTCTGCGTGTGATACATATTTTTTAATTAAAACCTTTTCACTGAACAGCATACACTGGTCGAACATCTCCCTACTTCCCCAGTCCCCCAGCCCTGTGAACCAATTTTGCATTCTTGTTTCTCAGTTGTAACTTTTTATAGATCATCCCATATGTAAGCAATGCCTCAGTATTTTTTTTTTTTTTGTCTCTGACTAGCTTCTTTCACTTCTAAAACAGGGAACCATGCTGGTTGTCCCCAGTTTGTGAGCCTCTTGACTGCCAAGAGCCTCCATGGGTTCCCTTCTGGGCCTCTGCGCTGCTCTCCCACTTCTGGATGGCCTTTATTGGTGGGGATAGCTGGTACCTGACTCCTTATAATCTTCCCACAGATGCTTTTACCCGGGAGATCCTGATCATCATAGTCAGGACCCATATTGCGTGTATTCTGGCTTAAGAGGCGGATACACAGATGAACTGTTCTTACTGAAGCATGATCTGGGAGAGGTGGGGATGCCTTCCCATCTCTTCTCTTCTACCTTCCTTTTCCTGTTTCTTGCAAGGACCTTGTTCAGAAGACCACAGTAACCAAAATGACTATGGTGTAAACACTAATAACCCCGGCCCCCAGCACCAGCTGCAGAGGAGCAGGTGGCAGGGGAAGCTTCTGGGCCCATAGTCATATCACATGGTGTTTCAACTGAGCACAGGCCTAGACCAAAGGAACACACAGCTGTGTTTGTGCTACTGTTGATGCTTCTCCTACCGATGTCCTTTGGAGGCAGCTGGACAGAAGTCAAAACAGATGACAAATGTGGATGGGGACCTGGATTGCAAGATGTGGGTGGGAGATGGAGAGGCCCCTCAGTGCAGATAGTGTGACACAATGTGTGAGCATTCATCACTAGAGGAGAACAATGCCTCTCCTAGCCAAGATACCCAGATGAGGAGGACCAGTCTGGACTCTATTTACGCCTCCTAGCCCAGATACCCAGATGAGGAGGACCAGTCTGGACTCTATTTACCCCTCCTAGCCCAGATACCCAGATGAGGAGGACCATTCTGGACTGGTTTGCACTAAATTCAGCAAGAGACTCCTGGCATGTTATTGGTTTCTAGAGGAAAGGACCCCTATTTCTGACCTCAAGACACTGGGTAGGGCCAGCCAGGTGGGGGGCAGAGATCTCTTTTCCATCTTGCTCCAGAGCTGACAGACACATGGTAGAAGTGTCCCTTCACGGCGCCATCACTAAGATGATCCACTAATTGCATGCCATCAAGGATATGAAGAGGGAAGTGAGATGGTGTCCCAGGGGACCCTCAATCAGCAAGTGTATTCACTCTTAGCAGTGCGAGCCGAGGCTGCTGGAGACTTCTCTCAGGATGCAGGCTCTCAGGACGCAAGCCTTCTCAGGAAGGCCCGCCCTCGTCTCACTCCTGAGACATCCTGTTCTTCATCTCCACAGCCACTTCGCCTAAGTGATGCACATCTACCACACCACCCGTTACAGGAAGGTGTTTGTATCATTTACCACTTGTTTTGATCTGTCTCTAAAAGGCTGTGGGATTCAGTCTCTCTCCTCCTGCCCTGATTTTTAGAGTCTTAGGAACTTGGTCTTAAATTGCATCTTAGAGAACTTGTTCTCCTGCTAATCAATATAAGGTCCGGTGAGGTTAAAGTCATAAAAGTAATTGAAAGTAGAAAGGGGACTGGAATTCAGTCACTTGATGTTTATCCTGATCTCTACCTGCCCCTCCCTGCTGCTGTGCTGCCCTCTCGTTCACCCAGCATGGGGCAACTTTACACCTGGCCAAGAAGGTCTCTGCTTTAGAGGACTTGGCTTTCCCCTTCTAGCCACACCTTCTCATGGGCTGAATAGTCATCAAGACCATAAGG